AAACGCAGGTATGTTAATGGATATTTATATTCTATTTCTGAATGAGGCTTCATTATATATTACTAAAAATACAGTTCAGTAAAATTTATGGCACTGGTGAGCTGGAAGAGCTAAACATAGTAGGCGAGTTTTACTAGCTTGATGGATGGTTTTCTAATGAGAAGTCAAGGAGGAAGCTAAAACGAAATTCGAAGGGGACCCAGATTAATTGATAGAGACCTGAACATTTTCCTAAAAACAAAAAAATCTGTAGTATCCCCGTTGTTTGCTTTAAAGTGCTAAATGCAGGATGCTTTAGAAATGTGAACATCTGAAAGGGGGAAATAGATGCTTTGAAAATGGTGTTGGCAGAGGATACCTGACATATAAGAGAATAATGTGTCCGTGTCTTTCGACTCTTTGTTACATACGGCCCAGAAAAGTTAGAACGACTCATTGTGACTGGGAGAGTGGTGGACCAGGCCTCAAGCACGATCCCTTACTCGCTAGACCTTACAGGTCTTGCACAGGCACTAAAGCTTAAGGCTGAGGCGAAGACAGGATAGATGGAAGGAAATTGTGCGGTGCCAAGAAGGCGCAAAGAAGAAAATTATATGAGACTAGCTGACCCGGCAAATGTCGTTTTGCCATTTATATCATTTATAGTAAAAAATAGGGATTAATCGTAGAGGGGTGAAAATTAGGGGTTGTATGTCTTTTTTTATGCTGTATCATAAAAAAAAATCGGGTAGACTACCCTTAAAATTTAGGGGGATGAAAAATAGATGTTGTCCGATTCTCAGACATACCCAATATGCACACAAAATTTCATGAGAATCGGTCAAGCCGTTTCGAAGGAGTTTAACTACAAACACCGCGACACGAGAATTTTATATATTAGATATCATTACAATTCTTTAAACTCGAGTAAAACCGTTTGGCGATAGATGATTTGAAAGCCTATATTTTGTTATTAACTAAAGCTAGATTAATTAATATTATTACCGTTATATCCATATTAAATGCATGTTCCTGTCGAAAGTCTAGTCTAGCCTAGTAGTAGTCTCATTAACTTGTAGCAAATCGTGATACAAAGTCCATTTAACTGCCTTTCACAGATCAAGAATGTGGCGTGATCGATTTCGCACAGTGGAGCCCAAATCCTCGCAACGAACGTCCTCCTCTATCGAAATCAGTAAATTTGGTGATCGTTCAGCACACTGCTACAGAAACTTGCTCTGATGATGAATCGTGCAAAGTCATTTTAAACGGTGTCAGACATAACCACATTGAAAAACTTAAATTCACGGATATTGGAAATTCGTAAGTATCAACGACCTATATGAAAACTCTTGTTTAGTTTTCTGTGCTTTTCAACCGTAAAATTTTCTTAGTCAAAGTGTATACTGGTTCTATTTAGTAACGAATTTTATCTAGGATGAGAGAATTAACTTACACTATAACTATCCTATTTACTATCTATTGAAGAAAGGGTAATTTTTAAACACTGTAAAATACTGCCCATAACAGAAAACATAAATAGTAGTCTTCTAGTCGAGCACTTTTTTCGAAATAACATAAAACGAGTTGAGCACGACGTACAGACCCGTGCTGTTACGCAAGTTCGGCTCAGTACTTCGAGAGCAAACATTGTCTATGGTGAGAGAACGTTGAAGTATTTGCTACCACGGATAATAAACATACTACCCGGTTAGTTATTAAATAGCTTAACAACAATATATATAAAAAAACAAGTTGAAGAATTAAGTTTAATTAAGACAAGCCAGTGGTTTTCGAATGTGTACCATGATTTAGATTGTATTTTTCTGTAAAAATAAAATAAAGAAAAACAAAAGAAGGTATTCGTTTGTGTTAACAATGGATCGCCTTCAAAGCATCCAGATGAGGTCGTTAGTTCGAATTTCTATTATACTATGTATGAACAGCCAAAACGGTAAATATAAGCGTGAGGAAGTTGGCATGTCTTGGACTTGAAACTTATGTGCAAGTCATAACCAAGTAATGTTAAGTAACCGCTCTCGTATCACACACATATAACGACATGTTTAAAAAAAAACTTCTACTAATATCTAACTTTTAGTCACATACACATTTTGTTTAATAGAATTTTCTATGAAATATTCCTAGTTAACTTATTGGTATCGAAGTCAAAAAATTCGGAACAAAACGATAACAAAGATGCAAAACTGGACGGAATACTCAACTGCTTAAAAGCTTTCCACAAAAGAATACGTCTTTTAGAACCAAATAATATAAAACTATAAAAATGCTACATTTAAGGGCCAAAAATGACCTACATTCTAAAAATTATGACCTGGAACGCAAATGGTCTTCTTAAACACCAACAAGAGCTAAGAGTAGTTCTTGACAGTGAAGACATAAAGGTTTCAGAACAAGGTTCTTCGGAACATTGCCATGCACCTTGTTATATTAAAAATAAAAGTATTCACAAGGATCTTAATGCCAATGGATACAGTCGGTTTGCCTTAGCTCTCTTAAACGAGCTACATAGCCATTTGAATGCTGAGGCTAAAAATAGGAATAAGACGCCTAAAGATAATTAAACCTTCTGAGTTAATAAACCTAGTGTAGTGAATATAAGTGCAAGTGCGGTATCTGGGACCCACGAACATAGTGCCAAAACCTTATAGAACACAAAGACTGTTAATGAACATGACCTTAGTTTAAGCTATTTATTAGTTTTGCAGAAAATTAAGTCAACATAATATTACTTATTAGCTATAACTATTGTATAGACTAGATAGTAATTCATGTAAAATTGCACTCTTTTTCGTGAACTTTATAATTATAAAAATAAAACTGATTAAATATTGTAGGTTCTACATTGGAAATGGAAAGGTTTACGAAGGCGCTGGGTGGAATATTGGTGCGCACACACGAGGATTCAATGACAAGTCCATTGGAGTGTCCTTCATTGGAGATTTTAGAGGTATGAATAATAATACTGGATATGTTACAAAATCTTAAAAGTAATATATATTTTTATTTTGTATGTTAAGAAAGAAACACATTTAACACAACATATTCAAAATACATTTTGTATGGTAATCAATATTAATTAAAATATAAAAAGAACTCCTTCCCCGTCCTGTAAAAAATATTCTATTAATGACTGCTTGAAGGAAAAATTGTGATTTATATATTCATTTGATGATGTTATAATGTTGTTCAATAATAAGATAACTTAATTATAAAATAGGGGCAAAGGTGGTTTGGCCTTTTTTTTTTTTGGTGGGGGGGGGGGGGGGGGGGGGGGGGGGGTTTTTTTTTTTTTTGTTTTTTTTTTTTTTTTTTTTTTTTTTTTTTTACTCAAACTGGAACAAAGGCATTATTTACGGGACGAGTCCGCCGTTTTTGCTCGAGGGTAAAGAGGGTATATCATTGAATAAAAAAAGGTAGGGTTTCGTCTGGAAATCGAGGGCCGTGGAAGACCCAAGTTGATATGAAGTATTGAAGGCTATTGTGGAAGCGGATCCATCGCAAACCACGTCGAGTTAGCTGCGGCTGCGGTGTTAGTGATAAAACTTTTTAATGCTGTGATCATACAATTAAAAAACCAAAACTGCTGCGTAGATTACGAACGGCAAATATCAAAATTTAACAATCATTACCTGTGATGAAAAATGATCTTTAGATATTCGGAAGCGCTCAGCAGGGTGGACCTGCCCGCCCCCCAAAACCTCCGTTACCCCAAAAAGTTAAGCATTTGTTGGGACGGGCCGGGATGTTCTTGCAGTTTTCTCAAATCTGGCCAGAACTACGATGTTGTCCGATTCTCAGGCATCCACCCAATATGCACACAAAATTTCATGAGAAGAGCTTCAATTGAACATCTCCCAAACAACCTCCCTCACCCCCCCCCCCCCCCCCATCGGATTTCGAGCCGTTTTGGAAAACATCGCAGGGGAAAAACACATGGGCAGTCCAAAACTCTTTCACGAGAATTTTATTGATTCCCCCCCCCACTGGTTTTTAGTAAAGGGTTCAGGATGAACTACCTATGAGAGTGGCAAAAAGTGCATAGAAAACAATGGTCATACTTTGATTAATTAAATATATTATATTTAAAAATATTCCCCTTTTTTTTCCCCCCCCCCCCCCCCAACGCAATTTCATATGTAAGGCCTATATTAGATGTAATAATATATTTATATTTATTTACAACACATAAATATATATAATTTACAATATATTAACCTACAAAGTAATAATAATAACAATGATTAAAAAAATATAAATAGAAACAAATTTAAAAAGTTTGGTCCCTGTGGCAGTGTACCATTTATGCTGGCAGCATTTCCTCGCAGTATTGTGATACTTATTCACCATAAAACACCAGCCCCAACGAGGGTTCACCCGTAGGAAATATTTACCAGGCGCAACTTTAATTAGCGATTGCGCACTTGAACCCCCCAGCCCAATGGGAACAAAATCAAAGTTGGAGGAAAGACTATTATATTTTCATTTATGTAATAATTAGTTATGAGATAATGCGTAATTTAATATTTAATTTAAAAAAAAACAAAATAAATTGCACACCATTGTGACTGACATAGTTTTTTATACATAGTTATATTGTTATTATTCATTATTATTACTTATCATCGTTTGTATTTTTATTATTATAAAGAGAGTAGGAGTTATTAATAAAGTAAAACAGTGCTAAGTTTTGTGGTAATAATTTGTAGTTATGTAATTCTAATTTCAATGCATTTCTTTTAGAGTGGGTTTCATTTTAATACTCAAAAGGTAATAATAATTTACGGAACAATAAAATACTGGACATTTCAGATACACCTCCACCTAACGAAGCGTTGAAAGCTGTTCAAGATTTTCTCTCATGCAGTATTAAGAATGGAAATTTGGATGAAAATTACAAACTGGTTGGGCATGGTCAGTTGTCCCCAACTATAAGCCCTGGTGCTAAGCTTCAGGAGGTTATAGAGACTTGGGAACATTGGCGAGATAATTTGTTATAAGTATAAATTACGTAAAAGTACAAAATTTTCGCCTTGAATTTCTGTTAATTTAAACATGAGACTAATAGACTCGTAAAAGTTAATTTACAGCTGCATTTCTTTAATTTAGTCAGCACTATGTTAATTTTATGTTCTGTGAAGGATTTTGGTTCGTTGAACTTATCTGTCAATCAACACAAACTATCTTGGTAAAGGTGTAGTCTGCTTAGTTATTGAAACGTTCGATTTACTCTGATAATATTTTTCTAATGTTAATGTAACAAAAAATTATAATATATTACTTGTAACTCAGTGAATTTGTGTTTTATTGGATATAAACTTCTTTGATTTTCATATTTAATGTTTCCTGTCCAAAACTATAGTATAGTGTTAGGGAGCAATGCCTTTGGACGACGTAATAACATACAATAAAAAGTCAATATGCACTTAACAACGTAAAAAGATGAAATTAAATAAATTTTCATATTTATGTTTCTTCCCAGAGATAGATAATTAAAATAACGCGAAAGGAATACGAAATTGTCCTCGAATAGTTATTGGTTATATACATTGTATATGATTGGAAAATATAACATAATTTCTCCAGGAGTTTTTGTAATGAAAGAAATATACGATTTAAAATCGCATTACCTTCAGGGAAGAGCCGATTCTGCGTGTTTAACAGCTCTTTATAAAGGTGATCAGCCTTTGGTCTCCATCAATCCAATACTGACTTTGCCTGAAACTGAAGTAATAAAGTAATAAATATATTCTGTGAAAAATGAGCTTTTGTTTTTGTCTCCGTCATAACAATCCCTTTTTCTTTGACTTTCCATAGCTAGGCAAATAAATCTGCGTAAGTACGGTCCTATTTTATCATGAGCTGTCCTTAAAGATGCACATCCAATGCTTACAAATAGGCCGTATTAGGACACGAACTGCCAACAAAATGAATGTCACGCTCACATAATATCTCTAGAAGATTACAAAAACTTCCTTATTGCCACTCGGTATGGTATTATTTGTCAGAACATATGCTTGCAATTTGAATAAGGATTCTTAGTTCGAATATTCATTCAAAGTCAAGTTGTTTACAACTTAGCTTTTAGTACTTAGCGAATTGGATTCGAATATGAAATGGAACCTCTAACAAATTTTTATATATTCACACTTCGTTGCAGAATCATAATACAATTGACATAATTAAATGAAAAGGGCTACTGAAGGCCTTATCGCTTTTATGCGATCAATAAAAAAATAGATAATGTAAGCAAGAAGTGCAAAAATACATAACACATATAGGTAGTTATTTAGACAAAACTAAAAAGGGACACATGAAAAAGAAAATATGTGTATTGTATCGATACCTCCCACGTAAGTTGTTGTATGCCACAAAAATGCTATTTTGCTTTTTTGCTGAAAACATCCTAATATGGATCATTATATCCATTCAAAGTAAAAAACAACAAAAACACTATTTTTAAAGGATTTGTCAGACGCATAATGTTGTAATTTTCAAACGCGAACGGAGTAGACCAATGTATATGCCTATGCATTTGTGTACGCGTGCCGCGGTGGTTAGAATCACGCGCTCGCGCCTCGTATTGGTTACATACAACAGACCACGCCGGACTTTCAACCAGCCGCATGCCCGTTGCCATTGCATATATTATTTGATGATTCATTGACGTAATTAGTTTACTTGTTATTTGTTATAATGAAACGTGCAAGTATTATATTATCAAGAGGGCGTCGAATATGTGATTTGCTCAATTATGCGAATATACAAAATAACAACTCCGATACACCCATTGAAAAGGACAATATTTCATTAAATGAAATAGAATTAAACAGTTACTCTGATTCGAACCTACAAAATAAGAATGGTAATTTTCTTTTTGTATTATTTTAGTCGCATGAATTAGATTACTAACACTTTTCATGGTGGCCCCAACCTAAACTATTGTATAGATTACTTACAACAATATACGCCAGTGAGCGTTCATCGAAAATGTTGTATGTAATACATACAATGTTTTACGTCTTCGTTGAAGTTAAACATTTTGTTGTATCTAATAAATACATCGTTTTACTTCGGAAATCGTTCATCAAAATGTAGTTGTATAGTGAAATGCTATATTTTACGTTGGATTTACTTTTTTTTTACTTAAAATTTACGTTGTAAGTCAAGTCATCAGTTCAAAAGTCGATCTTTAAATGGTAAGTAGGGACTGCCTCAATAGCCAGATGCATACCTAGTGCATTGTATTAGCACGCCGAGGTCTCAGGTTTGATTGCCTAAATCTGCTGATCATTTATTATACAAAACATTATTATTCTTTCAGAGTCTCCATTACCAATAAGCTTTAATGAGTCGGATATTAATGAGCTAGCAAACATAATTGATGCAGATATATTTCATAATAACCTAGAAGTTGCTTCCGATTCTGATACTGCAAATCTCGAAACATCGCACCCTTCACCTTCTTGTGGTACCAACCACTTGGACTACGACTGTGATAATGATTTCTGCCATTATTATATACAAAAGGAACACTTATCAACTTTTGATATTTTGCCCGTACCCTCACCAGGTTATCTGTCTAGCTGCTCAACGTATACAACAATAAACAATTATAGTCCGCTGTCAGATATTTCGAATAATAGTCCTAGCACAAGCGATCGCCGTCGTCAACTAAGGAAAGATAAAGGTAATATAAGAAAAAGACATTTTAATGAATGGATAGACACTAAGAGAAAGAATTTACGTAATATGGGAAAAGAGTACATGTCAAGAAATGGTAAAATCCAAGCAAAGAGAAAGATGGGGCCTCCATGTCAATGCCGCAAGAAGTGTTTTGATAAATTAAGTGAAGGAAAAAGACAGAAGATATTTAAGAGTTTTTGGAATTTGGGCAATCGAGAAAAACAATGGATGTTTATAGCCAGCTTAGTAAAAAAGCAAAATAAACGCAGGGTCTACACAGCACTACTTCAAGACGAAAGTACACGTTAAAGTACTCATTGCCAGTAGATCATGGTGAAGATAATTATGTGGATGTATGCAAAAAACATTTCTTAAGCACTATTTCCGTCAGTGATCAGGTTATTAATAAGGGCCTAGAAAAGATGGCTACGACTACTGGAGTATTAATTCCAGATCAAAGAGGAAAACACTCAAACCACCCTGTAAAAAAGACAGAGTCTGTTATAACCAGTGTGTGTGACCATATCAAGAGTTTGCAGCCAGTTGAGTCACATTTTACTAGGCAAAGGTCGAATAAGTTATATTTGGATGGAGATTTAAATTTTCATAAATCAGCAAGTCATCGATCATGAAATTCACGTCACTAACAAGAAGTTATCCCGACAGCTTATGAAGTCTGACAAAGAAGAAAGCAAATCTTCTGAAGGTAAAATAATTGCTGGTACTTTTGATTTTCAAAAGATTCTCAATGCACCCCATGGCCAATTGAGTATTTTATATTACAAACAGAAGCTGTCCGTCTTTAATTTTACTTTGTTTGATTTAGCAAATAAAGAGGGTCATTGTTGAGGTATCAGGCTGTCTTTCTCATTGTATACATAAAATGCATGAACAAGGTGCAAAAGAATTTAGATTCTGGTCTGACAATTGTGCCGGTCAGAATCGCAATCGTATTGTGTTTGCGTTTTATGTTTATATTGCTCATAAGCTTAATATTACTATCAAACATACATTTCTTGAAAAAGGTCACACCCAGGCAGAAGGTGATAGCGTACATGCTCTAATAGAACGTTCGTCCAAAAATAAACTTATTTATACACCCTTTGAATGGTTTAGCTTGGTTCGATGGGCGAAACAGGAGGGCAAACCATATAACGTCATAGAAATGAAGCATACAGATTTTTTAAACTATAAAACACTTTTGATTGGACGTAATTGGTCTAAAAATGTAAATGGGAACGTAGTTAGATGGAATAAATATATTGCCTTTGATTAAGCATCTCAGGTTTTAATATTGATCTCATAAAAATAATATTTATTTGTTTTACATTGTTTTAAGGCTGCCATAAAAGCTAATTTTAGGTTTGTTAGGTTGACAATTAACACAATTGTTTTTATTTTAAAATTTCTTTATCATTATTATAAACCAATAAGTACATGCCAAAAATTATAAATAGTTTCCAAATTACTACTTTGATTTTAAGCTGATCTCATATAAATTATTAATTAAGTTCATATTTTTATTTTTTATAGTGATGTTGATTTTTGTAATTCTATTTGATTAGTTCTTAAGAAGACCTTACCTATTCTATAACTTTGTATTAAAAGTCTTTTGTATGATTGTTATGTGTTAAAACGTTTTTGATTATTCAGCAAAAGAAGAAGTAATTTAATTAAGTTTTAAAAGCTCACTATTTTATTTTCAAAGATTTTCTGATTAGCTTTTTAACACTGATGTTGTTTCTAATAAAAAAAATTAACCTTAATAACATTTCTTTTTTATTTATTAACCTAAAAAATTAATCACCTTCAAATTGTACATTTGAATTCTGTACCTAATATAAATATAATTACCACATACAACAGAGTAAGACTTATTAGTCCATTGAAAAGTTACATTTGGGGTTGCGTTCTTTAGAGGACGCAATTTTATTTATGGAACATGTAGGGGGGGTCAATACAAGCTTAACTCCAAGTTTGTGGGGTTGGCGTGCTTGTACCCCGGCCGCCATCTTGGATAAAGGGGTCCAAAAACCACGTTTTTGGCTATATCTCCTAAACTATCAATCATACATAAAACTTGTAAAGACACATTTTGTAGCAAATCGCTGTGTCTACGATTATGTCTATGTAACTTTTTATCATAAATCCAAAATTCAAAAAGTTATAAGTAAAAAAGTGAAAATATTTCCTATTTCTAAAGTTGACTAGGTGCGTCAATGCTCATGACAAGCCGATCAAAACAGCAGTTTTACCTTACTTTTAAGATCTCTCGTTTATTTTAAACAAATTTTCTAAATCATTTTTTTTATTT